CCCTGTTTTGTTGAGGGGTATCTACACATAAACTTTGATGTATGATTCCATGTTTCTGAAGGTAGGAATTTAGTGCAAAGTGATAGTACTCTTGGTCGTTGTCACTTCTAAGCACCTTAATTCTACTTTGAAATTGTGTTTTCGAAACAACTCAAATATTCTGCCAACACCAACAATCTTCGTCGACTTGCTGACGCTCTCTAGCCGCTCTATAACCTTCGCCTTCAATACCAAGACTAGAAACTTCGTGATGGCCATAAGCACCACCACTCTCCTCAAATCATACTTCAAGCCTTCAACAAACTTCCTACACTTCCAAGCCTCAAAGGTGGTTTGGGTGTAGAAGTGTGCCAAGTGCTCGAATCTCATGGCATACTCGGTCATCGAAATTCTCCTTTGCTGTAATCTCATAAACTCTGCCTCCCGAGCATGCCTGACATTCACTGGGAAGTACTTCTCGAGGAAGGCCCTCTTGAAGCACACTCAGTCCACAACCACTCCACGGTCAATTCAGCATCTGACTAGTACCTCTCCAACAATACTCTGCCTCCCCTATCAACATATACACTGCATAACTGAGCTTTCACTCCTCTAAAAAACCTAGAACTAAAAATATCATCTCCAGCTCGCAAATCCAGTGGTCAGCCACCTCCAGATTTGCATCACCTCTGAACTAAGGGGGGAACTACACTTCCTGAACTCAGCCAAAACCCGACTCTCCTATGACCCAACTGGTCTTGAGGCACTAGTCGCAACTCTCTCAGCACCCATCCTAGCAAAGTAGGAATTCTGCTATTGCATAGCCATAGCCATCATCTCCATGGCATGGGCTATCTGCTCAAGTTCTAAGCGTCTTCTATAAAATGAACAACTCATTCAACACACTACATCTCAACTACTCAACACAAATTAGCACAACATCCAACACAACACAGAGTTTAACACAACAAAAGCCTAAAGGAAGAAGAGATGGAGAAAAGAAAAAAAAAATAGGAAGAAGGATAAGAAATAGGAAGGGAGAAATCAAGAGAAATTGGAAGAAAAGGTAGAAAATCCTTGGAGGAAAAGGTATGAGTTAGATGTTTAATTTTATTCATGTTTTTGTGTTTAAGATAGTTGTAAAGTAGGTTTTGATCATTATTTTCATGGTTGGATGCTTGAAATATTAGGTTAGAAGACTTGGATTAAAGTTGGATTTTATGATGAAATTGTTGCTTTTGAAGTAAAATTGGTTTGATTCTTGTTTTTGGATGATAATTGTGTTTGGTTTTGATTGTTTAATGCTGGAAAATTGAAAAATGGAAGTTGATTATGGTGGGAAAAGATGCAGCCCCAAGGTTGAAGAAAGGGACAAAATGGGAATTTTCCAAAAAGTTTAAGGGCAAAATGGTCATTTCATTTCCTAGGGACATAGATGGAACTTTTGGAAAAGATTAAGGGTATAATGGTAATTTTAATAATGATTTAGGGACATAAAATAAATAATAAAAATGTTCAAGGATATTATGGGAATTTTAGAAATTAGGTAAGGGTATAATTGGAATTTTAGGAAATAAATAGGGGTAAAATTGGAAATTTAGAAAAATTTAAGGGTAAATTTAGAATATAATAAAAAATCTAGAAACATAACTGGAATATGAATAATTAATTAAGGAGAATCATAGAATGGTGAGAAATGTTCAAGGGCATAAATGGAACATTAGAAAATTAACCAAGGGTAATATTAAAAATAGTAATTAAAATTAAGAGTAGAACATAAATATTAGAAAATAATCATATATTTAATTCATATTTTAGGATAACATTACAAAATATATTAGAAAATAAATATTAAAATAAAATTTATGTTTTAGTTTATTAATTAGTATTAAAATAAAAGTTATTTAGTTTGCTAAATATATGTAGAGTTGCTTGAAATGACTTGATTTTATTTTTTGTTGGAATGGTGAATTATTGTAAATTTATATGGCATAATGCATGGACATGATGCATAATACAATTTTTGAGTCAAAATAATTTTAGGGGGGAAAGAAAAGAATTTGTGAAAAAGTTTGAAAATATTTTCTTTTAATTTACTATTAAGGACAATTAATAGTAAAAGAAATAAAAAATAAGATTTTGATAAAATTATTTTCTTTAAATTTACTATCATGGGCATTTGGTAGTGTTTTGTGACATTGAAAGTGGTGAAGGATAGTGAGAAAGAGAATGAGATAGTATATAGAATATGAAATTGTGATTTAAACTACTGATGTCATTGATAGTAAATAGGGTTGAGTAGAATGGGTAAGACAAGACAATTGTTCCAGAGAATAGAACTTTGGTCTAGGGAGTGTTTGGACATGGACAATCTTACAGATGATCAGTCTTTATTTAATTTTTGTGTCGTGGTAGTCTACTGGCTGCACTTACACTATAACTACTATCTACTTGTTCACATTTAACGGGGCATTGTTGAATCACTAGATAGAGTGATGTTAATCTCTAGCCTCACTAAATAATCAAGACAGAAAATCTCCATGGAGTACTAAGTCAAAAATAATTTTTAATAAATATTTTGATTCAAAACCTGTATTTCATAATCACATTGCATATTTTAAATTGATAGTTTTGATAAAAAAAAATAATCTTATTGTGTGTTTATTAATAAATTATTTAAAGTTTTTTATGTGGTTGTGTGCTTTTTGCTTATTAATCAATACAATATCCTTTTGCATAGGCTTAAGCAACATCAATATAATTACATCATCAAAACTAAAACAATGATGAAAATACGTTTACTTAAATATTTGAAAACAGTTTCTCAAAAAATATTTTCTAAAATAAGCCTAAAACTGAAAATAAGAAAAAGTCGTTTTTACTATTTTCTTAACAAATGAAAACACGGTGTCATTGAAGTAATTACAATTTGTGGAAGAACATATGCACAAAGTTTTGATGATGTCAAAGCATTGTAGAAAATAAAAGGTCAAGTTAAAGCAAGTTGATCAAGAAACAAGATCTCAAGAAGTAACTAGATAAGTCTTGTCAATTTAGCCTAATATGTAAAAGGAACTTTTAGAAATTGCAAATTTTACTTGGCCATTAAAATAAGGATTTCAAGAAATACTTAAATTTAGTCTTTTTGAATATAAGAATAAGTTTTTTGAAGAAGAAAGTAAAAAGTAAAGTGTTCAAAAAAAGACTATACAAAAATAATTTTGACCGGTAAGAAAAAGCTTCTAAATTCATAAGTTTTCAAAAAGTAAAAACTAGTAATATCTGTCTGGTAATGGATTACTAGTTTAAGTAATCGATGACCAGAAGAAGAAAACTCTTGGTTAAAAATTCAAATGCTAAAAACATGTTATGGTAATCGATTACTAGATATTGTAATCGATTACCAGAAGAGTGAACTTCAAAATTTGAATTTAAAAGATACAACGTTTCAAATTATTTTTGAACTTAAAATTGTTGTAATCGATTACCAATTCCTTGTAATCGATTAGCAGAGTATCTTTTTTGAAAAATTGTAAAGAGTTACAACTCTTCATAAAAAGACACAACCTAAGAAATAATTGTCTATAAATACCTAAAAAAAATTCAGAAGATTTTTACGAACTCTATCGTGAAAAACATATTTACAAAACTTTTTGGCCAAGTTCATTTGCATCATTATCTAAAGAGTTCATTAAGATCATCAAAGTGTAAAATCTACTCTTCAAAGATAGTTACTCTGTTATACCCACTTGATCATTTGATCTGTAAAGGAGAAAGTGTTTCTCTTTGTTGGTTTTTGAATCCCAACACAAGAAAATGGTGTTCCAAGGTGTTGGAGGATTCAAGTCTTTTAAGAATTACAAAAATAGTAGAAATCTCAAGTTGGAGACTTGAGAACTGGATGTAGGCAAGATTGGCCGAACCAGTATAAAACAAGATTGTAATTATTCTCTCCCTACACCTTTAATTACATGGTATTTAATTGTGTTTGAGTAGTTTTCCATCATTAATCTTTATATACAATTTGTTTAAGAAGAAGAAATTATAAGAAAGCTTTACAAACTCATAAAAGAGTAAAAATTAGATAATTTAATTCATCCCCTCTTAAGTTATACAAGACTACTTGACTAACATAATTATTTCTGAATTTTGTTTACTTTACCAAGTCAATGTTGGTACTTCGGATATTGTAATCTTCATATCAACACTTTATACCATAGTTAATTCTCTTTCATTGATCATCCAATTCCATTAACTCGATTCTTTGAACAAGAAAATAAAACTCTTTTTAAAAAAAATTAAAACTCTTATAATACAGATTAAGAAAATTAGATAAACAGTTATGTATTTAGTTTTTTTTTTTTTTTGCATATATTCTTTGTAGATCCACTTGGTATTAGTTTAGCATAACCCTGTTAATTTTGATAATTTATCTTCTTGCACTGTTTTTTTTTAATACCTTTTCCTTTTCAAGACATTGATTATTTTTCGAAAGAAAATGTTATATTATGAACTTAACATTATTTTTAATTCTTGAGAATAGTTAGATTTACTTGATTAGAGATAAGAAAAATATTGTATGAATTGACTAGGTTTAATGGATAAAATTTTAAAAATACCATTTTAAAATTATAAAAATTATATGTTTTTATAATTTTAAGAATTTAATTGATATGCATCGATACTATAAATACTTTTATTATACAATTATCATGTATTGTGAGATTGTTGAATTTTATTAAAAAAAAATACCAAAAGTTATATAATATGGTTTTTTAAATAGGCTATAGTATTAAAACATTTATTCATAAATTATTCTATAATAAAACTATAGATATGTTAATATTATAATTATTATTTAAAATTCATATAAAAACATTTTGGAAAATTCAAATTATTGAAAATAATTAAACCAAACACATTTTTAACATTTATATTCTCTAAAAATAGAAGAAAGATCTCAAACTAAGCATGTTTTCTAAATCTGAAAATTTGAAAATGAAAATTGTTTTCGGAAAATAAAAGTTAATAATATTTTCCTTCCTTAAGCAAATGAATCCTTGGATATGCATTAAAAATGGCCACAATACAGACAGAGCAAAGTCTATACTTTAATCTAGTACAGTGAGGATCATATGCAATCAAAACATCACAACCCCAATGTACATTTTCAATCATCAGAACCAAAAACCGAGTCCCTCACTTGTGACAAATCCTAGCTGTTGGCATAGTGACGCAAACTGGGGAATACTTTTTCTTGGCTTCTGGAGTACCTGCTTTAGGCTCTTCTGCCACTGCCATCCCAGCAACAGAGGAAACAGCAGTTGCTGCTGCAACAATCATCAGGTTTCGCCTTCCATGGCTACCCTCCTTGTCACTGTCATAACTGATCTTCTCCCCGTCAACAGCTCTGGCAGCATTAACAACGAGTCTCCTCTGCGTTGCCACTGCTGACTGCTTGGTGACAGCAGGGCTGCCAAGGATGGAGGCTGTCATGGTGAATGATGCCATTTTTGCTATGTAAAAAATCTGAATACTGAACTAGTCACCCTGCTACTTTCGATGGTGTAGGCAGTTATCAAATGATGAATATATGTATTGTGAATCATAAAAAGGGCATGGAGGTAGGACCAAGCAATATCTTATCTCATTCATGAAATGACCAATAAGTTATTGCCATGTAGAATAATTAATAATATAATGGAGCCTAGTTGTCGTGGGGCGTGTGTAGATGCTTCATGAAATGCGAATCAGAAGGATCAGAAAAATGAGGATTCTACAGCCTTTGACATTTCCTTTTCCTTTCTTTTAAATAATGCCACGTTGGCCTTATCTAATTTAGAGTAATATGAGCCACCCGACATTCCTCTAAACAGAACTACCACATTACAAATTTAACCAAAATCAATAGTAAAAAAGCAAAAGCCACGAAGAATTGAAGTCCCCTAGTTTATAATTAAACTACATCGTTGGATTACATCTAAGTCAATTGCCTATAATAAATAACTGATGGATTTATATGGCAATGGCATCCACTTCTCTTGCTCTGTATGGTGTAGGCAGTAAACCGTGAATGTTAGCAAAAAGATCTCCACGACCAGATTGTGGTTCCCCAAAAGGTGAATCCAAGACTGAGTCAGGAATTGCTACAAGGGTTTCTTCAAGAAATGATTTAACTGTCTGCGTGGTTCAAAAATTCAGTTAGTGTTTGAAGCAATACAACGACTGAAATATAAAAAACAGTTACTGTAAACTAAGGAGAGATGTGATTTAAAATTATGCCACAAGATAACTAAAAGCCGGTAAATGATATCTGCATAGCACCAAGTTTTTCATAAAGCACCTTATATATAAAAGGGAAAGAACGATCCAGCTATATTAGTACGTATACGTCCCTAATTATCACACAGTGACGAAAGAATACATTTATTATAATATATGCAAATCTTGACTTGTTTTGGCCATGAACATCACTCCACTAGCTCAGAGTTTACATAATCTCTCGTCATCTTTTTATTTCTGTAATTTGTTTTTGGTTCATTTTATTCCTGTCTAATCTAAAATTGAAACTGATATCGAACATGGGGTTCCCCAACAGAATTTTGTCCAAACATTTGGTTGAAAATTTTACTGGAAGAGCACTGCATTACAGAGTTACAAGGGAAAAGGGTTCCTTAATACAACATGGAACTGGAAGGATATGGATATATTTACTATGGTGCCTCAACTCCATATTCTAAGAACAGGAATTTTTTTAAATATTAAATTACATTCCTAGGTCATTTCTATATGCATGAGTCAACTACAACTGAGAACGGAATGTGCAATAAATCTGCTGACAGAATATGACCTAATTAGCTGTCTTATTACTTCCTGATTGTGCAATTAGCAGCTAACTAATTACTTCCTAAACTATAGGTGTTAATTTCTTTTATAACATAACACATAACAAGCATCTTTATATCCATGAATAGAAATCAAGGAAAAGGAAAGAAAATTAAGAATAGGTAAGAGTTGCTTGACGATGAAGTTTGTTAATCCTGCACATTGACAACTTCATCTAAATATAAAGTGAAGTATTGTTCTAAGCACTCATATAATTAGATTTTTCAGGGTAACTATACCGTGCATGTGTGGAAAGCAGAATTTGCTTTGCGCTTCCAAAGCCCATTCCCAGGTTCAGAATGGAAAAAACCAAGTAAAGGCTGCAGTAAAACATGATGTTCATAAGATAACAGCAAATTATAACTGCAAGTAAAAATTAAAATATCATTGATAGATATACAACTTGGTTCATGCTAATGGGAGGGAGGAAAAATGGAGGGGGGAAAACTCCTCCAGTGCATGTCCTATCTTTTAACTACCAATATAAAACAGGAACCCTTAACTGATCAAGGCTTTAAAGTGCATGTCCTATCTTTGAATAAGAAATAAAAAAAAAATGTGGGTATAACTATATAGTGATTAACTGTATATAAAAAAAAATATAGCTTTATTATGCCTCTATTTTATATCAGCTTATATAACACTATAGAGGAACTTTCATTAATATCAAGCATGGAAATGAACTAATGGATCATATTTGTCTGTTCCCACCTTCACAATATCTCGCACAGTTGGCCCAAGTCCATATTTTCGTACAACTGAGTCCCCGTATATTTGATATTTCTCAAGGACCTAGATGAGATGAGGTAAAAGAATAAAAATAAAAATTAGTATGCTCTAGGTTGTGCCAAAAGTGAAGTCAGTAATTTATGCAGCTTAATCCATTCTTATTCAAAATTTCAGTGACTGAACCTGACGACGTGTTAGATCACTACGTGGTGCACCGTAAACTGCACTATCAACATGTCCCAAAATATGCCAAGGGCTGTTGAAATTATCAACAATGATTAGTCAAGCTTCAAAGTATCAATCAATTTAAACCATATGAAGGAGAGTTCAATCAACAGAAAAAAAACATTATTAGATAAATAAAATTATTTCTAGACTTCAACCGAATAATTTTATGCTTTTAGAAAGTAGGATAATTGATTATTGACATGATAATAGAACCGCACATGTCAAAAGAGGTATCGTTGTCACTCCTCATACTTAAAAACAATTAAATTTCTGCAGAAGGTTTCTTGTATTGTATCTTACTAATAAGAGAGTACTTGTTGTAGTTAATCTGACAGATGGACTGTCAATTAGTAGGTTAGAGTTGTAACTGAAAGGGGAACAAGGTATAACTAGAAGGGAGAATAGAGTGGGTGCAGTCTTTGGTTTTAGTGCAGAATTGAGAGAGAGACCAGGTCTCAAACAAGTCTATATTCACACTTCATTATCTCTTTGATACAGGTCAAGTGACAGATATTTCTGTTAATAAAACTCTATTTATTTCCTATATTTTGATCCAGTTCTATCAAAGGTATATCACCCAGTGCTTTGCTTTGTCCATCCCTTAGGCCTAAAGGACATTTGCAATTTTGCACTAAAAGGCATTAGGTATACAAGGTGATTCAATGAAATCAAACGAAGAGCTTACAACTTTTAGATGCTTGGTTCTTGACAGATATGCATATTGGATAAAGACTTTTAACCACGAATAAAAGATATACATAACAGCTGTCTATTTCTCAGAAGGTTTAAACAATATGATATTCCGGTATATGAATTGTTTGAGATCATGCGGTACAAATAATTTCAGCATTTTGCTGACTTGTAACACATTAATAGTGAGAGTTGTTAGAGTTTTCATACTGCAACAGTGCCAACATTTAGCTTCCCAATGTAGAAAACCAGAAAGATAAAGGTGGTAATGAGAATACAAAATGGCTGCTAGTCAGTTGGCTATCTAACTGCAGTAGCAGAGGCTGGATGTAAATAGAGGAAGAGATCGTAAGTGAATTCAGTTAATTTGTCAGTTAGCTAGCTTTGGGTATTCCTAATCCTAGTGACTAATATTGGAAGCCAATCTTGCTTTTTTTTTTTTCACTTTGGGTTACACCTTACACTGATCCAGACTCCAGCATATGAGGAGGATATTCAATAAAATTCCCTCTTTTGCTTTTTGTTAATTGCTGCTCTCTGAACCAGTATCTATCAGTTGGGAAGTCATATCTAGCAACAATAAAATTGCATTAACTCCAAGGAAAATTTGTCGCAACAGTTAACAGGATGGAAATTCAAAAAACTTCTGCTACCACTGGTTGTTCATTGTGCAGAAGAAAATTCCAGTCAAACTCAAAAATAAAGGGATCTTCCCAAAAATATTTAAGGTGAAAACCGACTTCCACTATTTGTCCAGCTTCAGATTTAAAATAGATAATCTACATTTTGTTTTCTGAAATCATATGGCAATTTTTTTATGAGTTAGTTGACGACTAAACTTGTTCCCCTTTTATTGAATAGAAAACTCCTGGTTTTTGAAAGCATTCAAGACTTCACTCAGGCAAAAGGGACAGGGGTTGGAATTTTGTATTTGACACTTACTTATGGTATGCTGCACGTCCAACCATAACACCATGAGCCCCAGCCTTTAGAGCTCCATTGACCTACGGTTGAATTCCACAAACAGAAGCATGAGAACATAATGCACCTTATAATAAGAAAAAAAAAACAATTTCAATACCAGAAAATTAACAGATTTTTTACTGAATGGCTTTCTAGAGGACTAAAGTGTCATTTAAATAATAAACTTTTAACAGCCCATATTTAATTACAGCAATCCCTAATTTACAGCAATACAAAACTGTAGAATTAATTAAATAAATACAAAGAATAAATTAGGAAATGTTATGGAGTAATTATAGTAGCAGTTTTAAATATTAAAAAAAATGCTGATAATCAGGCTGATTCTATTAACAAAAATGGCTATAGATTCATTACATTCATGACTAAACTGAACTATCTCAAAAGCCAGAAAGGAGGAACTAAAAGAGTAGGAAATAGATATTGTAGAAGAAAATTTATCTATAATGAATACCAATTCTCAATGACAAATAATGAACAGTTAGATAACAGCTTACCTCATCAATACTAGTAATACCACCATTGATTGTAAATGTTAAGTCAGGAAAGTCCCGTAAAAGGCCATAAAAGTATTCATATCTGCATTAAAAAATGTGTATCATCTCCAATTCTATATTTAATGACCATAAATATCAAATTTTCTGTCAGTCTGATACATACTTTAGTGGAGGAATACTCCGATTTTCAGCTGGGTTTAGGCCCTTAAGCAGTGCCTTCCTTGAGTGAATTATGAAATGCTTAGCAGGTGATTGAGAAGAAACCTTGTAAATGAAATCACCTGAAGGATACAAAAGTTATGACACAAAGGCTAATATGTAACTTCAATAACAAAGGCACAATTATTTTAAAGAAATCGTAACCTAACATAAAATTGTGGCTTATAAATCGCATCAGTAACAATACAATTTTATGACAATTGTTTCAAAAAATGTGATCATCTTGTTGTCCAGCAATCAAACATAGAGAACTAGTAAAAAGTAAAATAACAATCATTCAACCCCGAGGGGCCTCCAGATATGTTTGTTAAGCACTAACCTAGCTTTGAGTCTTAACAAAATAACTTGTTTGGTAAAAAATATCCTTGGAAAGCTCTAATCGAAGCTTCTTACATGTGAAAAATGAAGCTTGTGAATCTATCAAGGTCCAATAGTTTCAAATATCCTTTGCAATCAATAGAAGGCCCATTGGCTAGAGCAAGAGCTAAAAAAGTTAAAGAGGCTTTCCAATGTCGGGTCATGGAGTTGCAAGATAAAGAAGGTTCAACTAAACAAGAGCCCAATCCAAAAATTACCACATTTGTTATTCTCAGCCAACTTAAAGGTAATAATTTGGTGAACCAAATAAGCTCAACACCCAATACTAAAGATGCATCTATAGGCTAGACTTTATTTGGATGGATTACTTGGTTTCTAGGCTGAAAAGTTAATTAAGCCCATTTTTCTTTTCTTTTTTTTTCTCTGTGATTTTCATATTTATTTTTGTTGGAATACATTCAGATGTCTTTTGATATTTTCTAAGTCAGATTTTAGTGTTTTTAAGCTTCATAAACCATTGTGATGGTTAGTGGGATAATGTGAAGTCATTTCTAGTAGAAAATAAAAGCTTAGCGGGAAGTTAATGCTAGTGGGAATTAAATTAAGATTAGTGGGAATTCAGTTCAAGGGTTGTATACTTGTATAGCTTAGACTTTAAAAAGGAATCTCTTGTACGCTACCAAGGCAGAATTGACAGATTGATTAAATTGAGTATTCCTCCTTTGTGAGAGCTTCTACTTTGTTCTTGGGTTAAGAACTTCATGGTGTGGTTCTATCAGCAGGTCGCAATTAGGGTCACACTTTCTTTTAATAACTTTATTTCTACTGGCATTCCTATCAGGTTCTTTATTGCAGTGGTGGGTCATTTGTAAGTAGTAAGTACCATTATAGGCCCTAAGCTAAGGCTTGTGGTGTGCCTTGACCTTTGAGGGGTGCAACCTTCCTCCCCGAGGATGAACTCAATACAAAAGTCCTAACTTTACATCCTTTCAATGTAATAGACAAAAAATGTTAAAGAAGGACCTTACACAATTCATTGTACGAATCATGATCATCCACACCTATTCGACATTTGACACTGACAGGAACATCTGTATTGGCAGCAATTAATGAAATAGCCTCTGCAACAAACTTTCCTTGTATACATTAGAGTTCTACATTAGTGCATATTGATGAAAAAAATTTACATGTTCAATAAGTTTGCACATCAATTATGGATGATTTTCTAACCTTTGGATCAAGCATAAGTCGTACACCAAAGCATCCACGTCCAGCTACTCTAGGACTCGGGCATCCGCAACTGGTATATGTTGAAAATAAATAATGGATCTATCAGAGACTAATAAAAATAAGAAACACTATGAATTAAGGTGATAAGAAAATAAACAAACTTGAAGTTGATCTCATCATAGCAATAAGAATTCGCCAGTTCAGTAGCTTTAGCCAAATTTTCTAAATTACTCCCTCCAATTTGAAGCACAATAGGATGTTGATCTGGAGAATATGCCAAGAATCTGTCCTGAGAAAAATTGACAAAAAGAATAAATGGTTTTTCAGAAACAATTTAACCAGAAATGGTATCGCCCCATCAATTTGTGCCCTTCTGAACACACATATACCTACTGCAATGAGATAAACAGAGGACTTTGTTATTTAACCCAAAGGTGAAGAACAACTTGTGTTTCATTCGAAAACTGTACTCTGAAAGATACAGAACTAAAACATAAAGGCTATCAGAAACATCCCTGTATATCTAGTTATGCAATATATTATACCACAATAACTATGAGCACACTATTAATTGCGTTATAAATATAAAGTCATAGTCTAATCTAATGGTTTATGTTTTTAGAGAAGTTCGTCATTTGACATGATATCAAAATCCACTATGGCCAAGAGGTTTAAGCCTATGGTATAATGCACCTATGCATTATCCGAGCTTCAAAGCCAAAGGTTTCTTGCATGAAAAGGTGCGTTAGATAGAGATACAAGAGCATAAATAATGCAAGTAATTGTCTATACACCACAATACTGTGCATAATCACTGAAGTTCTGCCACTGACATCAGGGTGATATCAATAAAATGGTATGTCTATACACTTTACAAAATAGTAAAACTCTTCTTCACTCCCTCAATACATCTAAGTAACTGTAGGCTGAGCTGTAAGCTTTTTAACAATAAATAAGCCTCAACCCAACAGCTTAAGCTTTTAGCATAATTGGTCCATGCCAATTGCAACCACCAACATTGTCATTCATAAATCATTCCTTCCAAGTTTTTCCCTTTTTAACAACCAGAATCATGTTTACAAACTTACCAGATTACCCTTTTGATGAACAATTGTTTCAGCTGCAAGCATCTCCGTGTAGAGCCAAGCATGTTTGGATATGAGGCGTGCCAGAGTCCTGTAGTGATGATCAGTCCAGTCCATCATTGGAGCCACACTGGAATCCAAAGAAACAACAAACCCAGATTCATAAAACATCAATATAGCACAAACAAAAATCCGAGACACGCATCTAGGGTCCACCCCACCTAAACAAAGGAGGATAATAGAAATTTGCAACCATCACAGCTATACAAGGTGATTGTTCCTTCTGAGCAAAAGCAGCAAAAACCCTAGACGGCACAAATTCCTCTATGATGCATGCACCCACCAAGAAACTGCAAAAATTTTCAAAAACATTAGAACTTGAATTCGAATAAAAATTGGAAGTTACAGCGAAACAAATGAAATGTGATGTTTAGTGAATGAGGATTTGAAGAGAAGCGTGTAGAAAAGGGTTTATTACAGAAAGGACGAAAGTGGTGTCGCAGAATCCGGAGGGAAATTACTCTAACCTCCGCAACTACTGGAACTTGGGAAGCGCGTTTGTTGTGCCCTGTTTTTAGTTTTACCCCTCTCGCATTCGTGCTATGTGAGGGCGTGAAGACCGAAGAATTTTAACTTTTGATTATAATTTATAACATAAAGAATAATTTCTATTTGGTGTATTTTTTTTCAGATAATTTTATTTTTAAATTTAAAATATTAAAAAATTATTATTTTTACCAATTTATGATTATGAAATTTGAGAATCAAGTATAACATTAATTTATTTAACTAGTATTAATAATTTTTAAATATTTTTATTAAATAAATTAAATAGATAAGATGCATTTTGATTCTGAAAGTTATTATAAAAAATATTTTATTAAAATAATGTCAGTTTTTCTAATTTTAAAAATGTTAAATTTTGGCTTTTTCAAAAAATTGAGATCTATTAACCATTAAATTTTAATATGATGTAAGATGACGTTTATTAACATAAGATTTGAAAATTAAAAAACATACAAATAAAATTTATTAATAAAATAAACATCAATCACTTTTTAAAATAAATATAAATAATGATATTCTGTATGTTATTTTTAAATTTTTATTCTTGCATACCACATCACTAAATATTATATTATTTAAGTGATGATAAATTAGTGAAAATATTAATAGTTAATAATCAATGAACATCAAATTAATAATAAGACTAAAGTTTTATATTTTTAAAAATAAAATAATTAGATATATTTATTTTAAAATACAGTGACCAAAATTACAGATTAATAAAAATAAAATGATCAAAATTATAATTTAGTCTAAAATTATTTAAATATAACAATCCACCCCATTTATATTAATTTAATAATAAATTTTTAACAAAAATTAACATGTTGATTAGCATTAACAAATATTAAATATTTTATATTCACCTTTTTTTCTTTTTTAAAATGATGTGAGGCTATTTTGGAGTTTTGTTTTTTTTACCATTAGTATTTTTTTTACACCATTTTCTATTAATATATTAAAAACTCAAATTAAGTCAACAACATCTATATTATTAATAAAGAAAAATATTTTATTTGATGTGCATATTTTTTTTTTACAATTTTATCTTTATAATCACCTTTCAAATTACTCCTTTTCTTTTCATCTTTTTTTAAAAATTACATTTACGATTACATCTATACAAAAGCTTATTATTAATCACTTACTCTTATTTTTGTTTGTAAAGAAAATACATGAAATCACGAAACGCTTTGTTTTATGCTAGCTATTATAACGAACATTTCTATTGATGAATTTTTTTCCTTCTTATGAATTTTGGCACCTCTTTTTTTTTATGTAAAGTATACTAAAAAAATAAACAATTTTATTTGTTTTTGCATAATATGAAAATTTAGTATAAATCAGAATGGCCAATAAATTTTTATTTTTTTTACTTACAATAGATTTAGGTGAGTTGAATATGAGAACACAATAATCAATGCATTACAATAAAAGAAGAAAGATAGAAAGTAGACAAATAATTAAAGTTAGTCTTTGAAAATGAATTTCCTATCCTTTAATGTTTTAGTATATATGCAAATTATTTTATATTAGTAGAAAAAAGGTGTGCTTGTATGAATTTTGTTTAAAAATTATATATAATAATAATAATAATACAAAATGGTAAAATAATCTTAAACAAAAATAGAGATCAAAAGTGATTTTATATAAGTGAGTGATTATTATTGGTAAAATGAAAAATTAATTTTTTGTATACTTATTTTTTTTCTTTTATCCTTAAGAGATATGATAGAGGAAAAAAGATTAATCTATATTGTATATAAAGGGTATAAATGTCTAAAAATATGTGAAAATCAAAGAAAAATATTTCCTTTTATATAGTATAGATTCTAATACATGTTATTGTTAGAAAAGATGGTTTTATTCAAGAGAAGAGTGAATTGAATCATTTAAAAATCTTCTTGAAACTTTCTTGAAATATAACTTTTTTAAAAATTTTCAATTGACTCAATTGATTTTAATCAAGTTTAGGATAATGATGTTGAAATGGTTTATGCTAGATACAAATTAAATTATCCTACATGATATGCTTTCAATTAACCAAACATATTACATGAATAATATTCGGATAAAGCAATCAATTAATATTCAAAAAAGGGTAAGAATAACTTGTGCAATATTTATATAGGAACCACCGTAACATACATCTAGTCTCTCAATCAACTTGATTGAGAATTTCACTAAATCTTTAAATTTTTAAGTTTTAATCACAATCACATGCAATTTACTTTTAGAAATTATAAATAAAAATATAAAAAAAAAAGACTCCACATCTTGAACCCCCAATAATATGTGTGTGTGTGTAGGAAGGAAATTTAAACCATTTTTGCAAGAATAATGTTCTTCGTCCAATGCACTTTTTAGATACCAAATAGTTATGCAGAATTTGCTTAACATAAGATTAGTGCGTCTGGAAGATTTATCGTCTGTTGAAGGAAAATGTTTCATATAACAATAATGATTAAAATGATTAAAGTTTTAATGAAGAATAGACAGTAGACGAAGTTTTCAACATGATATGTCAATTAAGAAGAGTTTGCGTCTGAAATATAATCAAAACAATGCAATCATTTTTATACTCATTCGCTCAACTGAGCTACGTCTAGTTTCCTTCAACTGAAGGGTTCCACTAGATAAACAATTAAGTACAAGTATTATTGACCACTTCTGGCCCGTTGACTTCACTCATCAACGCTAGTATCTTCTTATCAGCCTCTTCAAGCTAGCATTGAGTATTATGGACCACCCAGGTAAGAACCACTCCTGGTCCAAGTATTATCGACCTCTCCAGGCCCTAAGTATTCTAGACCACCCAAGTCACGACCACTCCTAGTCACGAGTATTCTCAACCACTCCTGGTTGGCTAGCTTCACTCACCATCTCTAGTATTCTTAAACCACTTCTGATTCCCCAAGTATTCTCGACCACTCCTGGCTCTCCAGCTTCACTTACCAGCGCTAGTATTTTCTTATCAGCCACTTTTGGCTAGTAGTGAGTATTCTTTGACAAGCCCCTCTGAGCTTTACAAGTATTCTTTCCCTAGCCTCTTCAGGCTTTACATACACTAGTACAAAAGAGGTGTACTACGTCGGATATTTTAGGCTTTTTACGTCAGAAAACGTACCGACGCAGAAGCAGGAGACGTAAATTCTACGTCGGACCTGCAAACCCAACGTAAATTTACGTCGGACATTACGAAATCCGACGTAAAAAAGTAGTAAAAAAACAAAAACAAAAAAGCATAAGAACGTAGGCAGAACGACCCGTTCTACAATCAGAACGACCCGTTCTGCTTGGAGAACGGCCTTTCTGCAAGCAGAACGGCCTGTTCTGCTTGGAGAACGGGCCGTTCTGCTTGTAGAACAGGTCGTTCTGCTTGCAGAACTTGCAGAACGGGCTATTCTGCTTGCAGCACAAGCCACTCTGCTTCCTAGAACAACAAAAAGAAACGCCCACTACCTATACAAATAGAACAACCAAAAAATCGAATAAAACAGATAGCCAGAGTAGCAATGCTAAGTAGAAAAGTGCTAACGAAATCTTGTTTCATACCTGAGGAGCAGCAACAATGTGCAAATGAGTAACAAAAGAGTTCATCCCTCTACAAAAAACAAAAAAAACGATTCAGTAACAAAGGAGAGGTAGAGGGTTTACAGAGAAAAAAACGAAAAGTGATGAAAAGTGAATGCGCGCGGTGTGCCTCGCGCTCTCTTATTCAAATTTGCGTCTTATTTACGTCGGACCTGGTAGGGTCCGACGTAAATTGGACTTTAAATCTACGTCGGACAAACATACCTCCGACGTAGATTGGACTTTTTACGTCAGACCCTACCAAGTGCGACGTAAAAAAGTTCGCAAAAATTACAAAAATGCCACCGTGTTTTTTTTACGTCGGATTTTCATATTTTCGACGTAAAAGGGGTGACGTAATATGCTTATTTTCTACTAGTGAGATGATAGACGTATAATCAGGTTTGAGTGTTTGGGTTATTCTCACAGAGAGGATACATATATGATCTACACTCTCTAAGGTTTCACTACCTTAGTCCTATAGAAATTCTGAATATGTGGGTTACTCTTTACAAAGAGGATACATAAGGTTATAACACTCACTAAGGTTTCCTACCTAAGATAAGCTTGGAACACCTTAGACTACAAAAATGAATACAATGTTACATTGTAGATTTGACTATGAAGAATTGATCTTTGATTTCTCTATTTTTCTCTTGGGCATGATATTACTTTTGGTGCTTAACGCTAAAAGCCCAGGGCAATGCCTATAGTCATTCTTTCGTTACTCCTGGCCAACCTCTTTCGGTTTGAGGTTACTACATATGATGGAGGAAGCCCATGGGCCAAGGGCCCAACTACTAGGGCTATGGCAAGAAGGATACATGAGGAGTGGGCCCAAGCCCAAGGAAAGCCCATCTCTTTGTTTTATTGGGCTTTGACTCAAGCCCAAGTAGATTAGGGTTAGTGTAAGATTGGGCCTTAGTGCCTTGTATTTCTTTGGGCCTTGTATTCACGGCCATTTAGATTAGGATTTTCATTTAGAGGTCATTTGAATTTAGGGTTATTTAGGTTACATGTGTAGTTGCATTAGAATGTAATTAGATTCACATTTGGAGTGCATTTCGGCCATGTGCAACACATGCACATGGTGTGATCCGAAATGCAACCCAAATGGAAGCCTAATGACATTCCAAATGCCTTGCACATGGGTGATCCGGTTTAAGCTCCAAAATTTGAATTTTGAATTCAAATTTTGGGCGCCTAAGGTTAAGTGAACCATACCATGGTTCCTCTTAACCTTAGGCTAACCCATGGTTACCTTAACCTAAGTTTCACCTATAAATCCTTATGACCCATCCGTGTAATTCACTTTGGAATTTATTTGATGAGTTTTTCTCTCTTAAAACTCACCCTCTCCGAAGTCACCTTGTTCCTAGTCTCTACCCTTCTTGAGAGCTTCTCTTTGTAGAGCTAGAACCATTAATCCTTCTCCGGACTTAGCTTTATGCAAGCCTAGGTCACATTGAA